CCCCTCCCCAATCGCCACAAAAACCATTCTCTCAGAAAGTACACGTTACATGCTCGAAGCTGAAACTGATTAAGTTCGTCTCGACTGAGGAAAAAGACGATATACTGGAGGAATTGATTTGTCAAATCTCGTTAAAGCAGTTGTAGATATGGTTCCAAGAAGAATAGATTTAGTTTAGATTTTTAACTGCTAAATACATGTATGCATCATCATAGCATGAATATTTCTTCTCAGACTTATTCTGTATCGTATGAAAAAGCAACGCAATTTTGAGAATGCGGAAATGGTGTCTCATAGAACCTAAAATGATTTAAATGCAACATTTCTGATCAAAATCACATTGGGATTCCCCCCTCCCCCCTCCCCCCAGCGTCACAGAGAGGAAATAAGGTGGCACTGACTATTTTTCAAGGTGAATTTTCCAATTTATTTAATTCCGAGTAGAAATGTCTGGAAAAATTCATGTCTTCAATGTATTTATAATCTTCGGAATTCTGCTAGAGTTCATCCCCAAAATGCCGGACCCTCCTAGACGGTCTCCCGGATCCTCCTAGACGGTCCCCCCCCCCCCCCCCCGCAAAAATTAATGTTTGGCTACGCCACTGGTTATAGCTGTACAGTTATAGCTATAAAGAGTTGAAGTTATTGTTTAAAGTAAAATATAGCTGAAGTTAATAAATTAAAGTTTTAAAAATCTCTCTTCAGACTCGCGCGTTCGCCAAACCTCGACGGCTCATATTTTTCGTTCTGCCTTTTTTCCCTGTTTTCCCCCCCCCCCCCCCCCCAGGGAAAATTCCTTAAAAAAGGCACTGTATTAGCAAAGCGATTGAGGAACATTTGGTCAATCTCGAGGGAGTATTTCAGGCCTTGCGACATCATGGATTACGAATTAAACCTAAGAAATGTGCTTTCACAATGAAAGAAGTGAAATTACTTGGATACAAAGTTTGCAACAAGGGTGTGCAGCCAGAGGAACATAAAGTAAAGGAAATGCATGCATGGGTTGCACCAACTTGTCTTAAAGAGATGGGAATGTTTTTGGGTGCAGTTGGATGGTATCTGAAGTTAATTTTGCCAGACCACTACCACGGCGTTTGGAGAAACATGTCACATTCACTTGGCGTAAGGAGCAATATGATGCATTCAATACACTAAGATAGAAGACTATGAGTTTTAAAGCTCTAGTATTAGCCCATCCTGATCCCGCTCGACCATTTGTTGTTACTATGGATGAAAGTAAAGTGGGGCTGGGTGGTGAGCTATCACAAGAAGATACACAAGGACAATTACATCCAGTTGCATATTTCAGTCGTGCACTGACCAACTTATGACAGAGAAGTGATCGCTATGCGGGACACGCTTAAGCATTTTCGGTATTATCTGCTAAGGGCACAGGCAGTGATAAGGACCGACCACAAACCTAATCTAAAGATCCTGCAGAAGCTGAAAGATCTTTTTGGACGAAGAACGACATTGATGAGGGATATAGCAGAATTTCAACCACGCATACAGTTTATTCGAGGGCAGGATAATCACATGGCAGAAGCTTGAGCTCATAGTCGGATAGGGCTAGTAACTGTTGATGATTCTCAAGACGAGAGTGGTCCATGCAAAGATGTAAGGTTGAGCATAAAAGATTTCCAATTGCGGCAAGAACGCGACCCAACCCTCAAACCACATATTTCCACTTACCGAAACGAACATGGTTTATTCAAACGAGACCATAAGAAGCAAGTGCTACTTTCAACATCGCTTGTTCCCACCATACTGTCATTAGCTCATGACGAAACAGGTCACCAAGGAGCAGATAAAATGCTTGCAAGATTTGAACCTCATTTTGGTGCCCAAAAATAAAAGAGGAAGTAGAGAACTATGGAAAAACGGACAGACGCTGTGCTGCTACTCTTGTCCAAGGACACCGAAATGCCACCCACTCATCAACGACCAAGAGAAGAGAAACCATTTGCATTGATAAAATTAGAAGTAGATCTCAAGGTTCCATTACCGATAACAAAAGAGGAATTCGACAATATTGTTGTAATAACAGATCCATGTAGAAATTATGCAGAAATGCATCCAATTCGAGGACAAACTAGGTAAGTTGCTTGTAACACAATGATGGGTTGGATATCAAGGCAAGGTTTATCAAACAATGTGCACTCCAACAATGGACTTTGCTTCATAAGCGAAACATTTGAACAGTTTTGCATAACCCAAGGCATTGTGCACACTTTCATTCCACCCTATAGGCCACAAGAAAACGTGGATGTAGAACGGATTAATCGTACGATGGGGGAAGCACTCACAAAATTGGAAGAGAAACATCCCAACCGATGGTTCCAACACCTACCGGACGTACAACTAGCACACAACACAGCAGTTCACACTAATACGGGGGTTTCGCCGTACGAACTAGTTTTCAAGGATCAACTGCGATCAAAATTCGAAATACTAACACTTTAACCGAGAAGAGATCACCAGCAACGATTAGAGAGAAAACGTTAGACTGTTAGTGTGGTATTCCAAAAAGCACAATAGTCCGATGGCAAGTTAGCTGAAAAATGCAGAGAACAGGACAACAGAAAATCTTCGTTTTAAATCGTTGGGGTTGGTCAACAACGACAACGACAACGGCAACGACAACGACAACGACAACGACAACGGCAACGGCAACGGCAACGGCAACGGCAACGGCAACGGCAACGGCAACGGCAACGGCAACGGCAACGACAACGACAACGACAACGACAACGACA